TGTGCCATGGGCTCAGAAGGAGTCAATTTTACAGAATAGGTATGTATGAGTATGCACATATTCTCAAATGCATTATAGGAGGATACACATAATGCCTACATGCAGCCATGATATGACTGACTGGCTGACTGGCTGACTGACTGACTGGCTGACTGGCTGACTGACTGACTGACTCACTGACTCACTGACACTGACTCACTCACTGACTCACTTACTCACTCACTGAGTCACTTACTCACTCACTCACTCACTCACTCACTCACTCACTCACTCACTCACTCACTCACTCACTCACTCACTCACTCACTCACTCACTCACTCACTGACTCTCTGACTCACTCATCCACCAACTAACTTCAAGGTTAACTCGTAAATCATACAAGTGACATCACACCTCGTTTTATCTCCCTTGTACTACTTGCCTATTTTGCAGTGATCCTGTAAAGTCATTCTACGCAGAAGTAGACGTCTTACCCCCGGCAGATCGGAACTTCTCATCAGCAAGCATCCAGTTCGTCCTTGACCCCGACTGCAGCTACTCCATTGTGTGAGTTGGTATTCATAATTCATCGCAGTATTTCACAAATGAATTTTATTTTTTGTTTCATTCTTACTCTCCTGTGTTTTTTATCTTTTTTCTTCATGCAGTATTGTGTTTTGATTTTGATTTATTATTTGTGTTATATGAATATAATTATTTTTTCTTATTTTTCTTTTTTTCTTTAGAGTTCAAGGCAACCTTTTGGGAATTTTCCGTCGCATCGTTTCACAGTTTGGGCAACAAGTGCCGACTTACATTGCAGTTCACTTACTTCTTACACTAGCCAGACAACTACAGGTGAGATGCCTTAACTCATTCAATGCATGAAGGATTAATTTTACACCACTCGGTCTTTTTTTCATCTGTTTTTAATTTCATTCACTTTTAATTTTATTATTATTAAAAATCTTAAATGGGAGTGAAATTGAAATCACTTTCATTTAGATGAATTTTCTTATATCTTACATAACCATTTTCAAAATGCTCAAAGTGCCAAAATAACTTAGCTTTTCAAAAACATTTAATAGTTAAAGGTAAAGGTCTTCATTTTACAAGCAAACACTCTTAAGGATTATATGTTTTCATTTTAGTCCCTCCTTTTAATGAATTGAAGGATCCATATTAGAGGAACATTATTGATATATGTCCAACTAGATGAATCCGTTTCATTTTAGTATTGTTATTATTATTATTATGATTATTATCGTTACTTTCCTTTTCTTCTTTTTTCCCTCTTTTGTGTATGCAGCAAAAGCTTTCTTCAACTTTAATCAACAAGACATCACTTGCTAAATAATGCCGTAAGTGTAAATAAATTCCTATTTTCAGACACTTGAGGATGAAGGTTATTGCCCTACACTGTTCTCAGCCATGCTAACTCTCACTCCTCTGGCAGTTATTCCGTTTGTCAAGGTCATGAACATGGTGCTGAAGTAAGTTACGACGGAAGTTTTTCCTTTTTCGTTATTCCGAGTTGGAGTGTTGTTTGTTAATCTGGGTGAGAGAGACACGTCTTACGAAATACTGTTCGTGCTGTGCTAAGTCTCTTGCTTAGTAGATAAACTTATTGTTAGTGTCTTCTTGGTAATCTTGTGATAACTGTCTCAGTAATGGTAATGTTTCACAATTTTTTTTTTTTCTAATAAATAAACTTGGCTTCATGTTACTCAAGCTGTTATGTCATTTGCTGATCACACAATGTACAGTATTTCACCTTCACTTCTCCTGCGTAAATCAGTTACTTTTCCTGTGTAAATAACAGAAAAAAAGGAAGGTCATTAAACAAATGGAAAAGAATGAACCATTCCTCAGCAAAGAGACAAACTCAAATATTTTCTTACGTTACGTAAATGTGCACGTTGATGTAATTGTTTTTTATGTAGATGATCTCTGTTTTTTCATTTTGTGTTCAGTATTTTTTTTTTTTTTTTTTAGTAAATTGTAGAGACAGAACTAGGAATATAATGGTAGTTCATAATTATTTTTATTTGTTTTACATAAACTGCAACCACATTTGTAGAAGACTTATTTGAAAATAATTTTTACATCAAAAATAGTTTATTTGACTGAAAACAGTGGAAGAAACTAATAATTTTATACCCCATTCTTTACTGACCAAAATTTTGGCAGGAACATGGACGTGTACGACGACTTCAGCATTATGGAAGAGAGCGGGCAGCAGCTGGCAGTTCTCCCGATCCTTTTCTTCCTGGGAACCCTACCTCTCTCTCTGGCACTTGGGGGTCTCGCTTGGGGATTTATCTTGTTCTTTGGAAACAGTGCTCATTTTGTTGTCACCAAGTAAGTTCTTTTTCTTTTTCTTTCTATCTTTTTTTTTCTGAAGAAAGTATATGTCAAGATGTTTTACGCCAAATGCTAAATATTGTGAAAAAATGCTGGGAGACTTTTAAAGTGTTCTAGTTTAGTTGTGGATCCAAAAGTTAGATCCAGAAAGAATGTTTTTTTTTAAATGAATTACAGTCAAATTTTAGTCTTCATGCATTGCAAATTATGATATTCCTTCTCTCATTTTCACCTTATTCATTATTGGTAGGGCCATCAAGTAATGGAAAATGCCTTCATTTAGATAGCTATCATGAACTTACAGCTGATTTGGCTGGGAAGGGCTGGCTGTGCATGAATTACTAGGTCTCCGTTTTGTCTCCAGCCAGCCCCTCCCAGTCAAGGAATCTGTGTGTGTGTGATGGCTTCGGCTTGGGTGAAATCCAGGATGGAAAGAAACTGGCCATCCTACATCATCCTGTGGCTTTGTACACATGTTCCTCTGTAGACATTGGACATGCACCCATACCTCTGCATATGTGGGACTAACTATGGCTTTGATAATAAACTAGTAAAAAATTATTGAGTATTATGATTAATATCTGACTTTTGTTTTGCTCATATTAAAAGTCTCTCATCAGATAACTAATAAGTCTTTGCAATATATATAGAGGGTATAATATCTCTTGTTATATACTAAAAGTTGCATGCATTTCCAGCTTCAAAAGCTTCTTTAGTTTTAGGATAATTAAAAAAAAATCCTTCAGCTTTACACATCCACTAACATGTTTCAGAATAAATTCCTAATTCCATAAATTTCCTTGTTAAAATGCTTGGTACTTGCACTAATAAGTAAATGCTTTGCAGTTGTGCTTGACTATGAGTTGCAGGAGATGATACAAGAGTTTGAGTCCGAACTGATGAAAAAAAGTTTTAGGGTCAGTGTTAATTCAGGTATAGGACGTAAGTCCAGGAGAGGGAGAAGCAAAGTGAAAGCTTGTGTAGAGAGGACATTTTAAGTTCAAATGTGGGACTAGTTATATGAGTTATGCTGTCATGTTAGCGTATATTTAAAGAAGAAAAGGGAAGAAGTTTGCTATTCATGTTGTATGGACAATTTTTTTCTGTTGTTTGTAATGTGTGTATGTTGAATCATGATTTTTGATACATTGTACATAAGTATTGGTTGCCAGTGTACCTGTGGATAGCCTAATGATTTTGTCTGACCTGGAAAATATGTAATCGCATTTCATCTTTAATTTTTTTTTTGTGTTAGTTTACTGTAGAATCTGGACATTAAACAAAAGATATTCACAAATGGAGTTGGCAATATTAAGAATTTGCATAGCATTTAAAACTGTCTAATATTATAAGATTTGGCTTGTAACTGTTCTACATAAAAGTGATAATTAAATAAATACAAAACTTTTGCATCAATATAAGTCTGTTAAAAATTAAAAAAGCCAAAATGACAATGACAAACACCAGTCATTGTTCTGCACTGCCTAATCCCTTTCTTGTTTTTTCTATTCTCTGAAGATGTAATAAGGAGCTGTGTTAAGATTTTGTTCAGCAATTGGCGATGTGACTGATACCTTTCTCACTCAACTAATTGGCTGGTTTGAAATTTTTAGTAAAGTCTGATCTTTAACAAATAAGTAACTGCATGTACCTATTTTTCTATATCTGGTTCACCCATGTGTTTAAGATTGTATATTGATAAGGTACAGCTGTGTGAAAATACAACAAAAAAGTAGCTAGAAATAGAAATTGGCAGTTCAGATATTTGTTGAAAAAATGGAGGGAGAAGAAACTGTGGAATGCATTTATTTACATGGAACTCAAGGAAGATACTCAGTAAGTTCTCAACCACTACAAAACTTTCTCATTGGGAAGACAGTGGAAGGCATTGTTTGTTGAAAATCAATGCTGATAACATCTCACATGCAATAAACACTTGAGTCCAACTTGTAAACAAGTTAATACCCCATATACTAAGGAATGGGGCCTTGTTTTGTGTTGTATCACTAATTTTGACTTTTAGGTTTGTGATACAAGAGAGTGCAATTTGTAGTGCTATTATTTTTATTATGATAAAAGATTTGATAGTTATAAAGGTTTCTGGAGCTTAAGAAAACAAACTGAAGTTTATGAAACAAAGAAATCTATGGTAAATTCAGAATATGACAATGTATAGCATAAATGTCATTTTGAATTAGATTTGCAAGTTTTCGTGAATGACACTGAAGACAAAACAAGACATATGTTATTCCATATAAATATTTTTCCAAGCAGAGTGTATGGTAATTATATAGACAAAAAACAACAATATCTTTTCAGTTGGTAATGAACTACCTTTTTTATATATGACATTAATCACTAATGTCTATGGAGACTGAGAATATTAATTGCATTTAACATCTAACAAAACATCTTTATTGTTTTATGCATAGCCTCACTTCTGCCAGGCAAAGATGAAACAAGTTGACATTTGGCATGGAGAACACAGCACTCCATATGGGTAGCAGCTAGACAGACAAAAGTAACAGTTTTGTGTGTAGGAAACTAAATGAAAATGATTGTTATTTGTTAAAAGATTATTTGATAATAGATTAATTAAATTTACTTATTTATTTACTTTTTCATAAAATGCAGTACCTGTACATGCATTTTTTTCTTTTATCCTTCCCTAATGAAATAATACACTATTGAAATAGTTAACGCAGCTGTTCGTTTCAACAAAAAAGGAAGGGGAATTCAAAAGGGTAGCAAACCTTAAACTAGTAAGCCAACTGCCTGTATTACCAGTGGCAGCTAAACAAAGAAAACCCTTATATCAGTTTCAGAGACTTTCATGTAAGGATATGGAACATGACATTTGCAGATGAAAGTGCATGCTCAATGTTACTGATATTCTTTATGTGGGAACAAGCAACCTACACTATGACACAGAACCATAGACTGCTATTGATAGTATGCACTTCATAACTTGCGTTTCTTTAGTGACATAACTTGGCTAAATGGTTTATAGATTATCTGTGCTAAAGTTTACCAGTTTGGTTCCTGGACAGAAATGTTCTCAAAAGTATTTGAGTAACAACTCATTTGTACATCCTTCCCAGCCCAGAATATGTTTGTCCTTTCCCAATTTATTGATCACGCCAGCATTTTCTGGTATCCCTTCCCCATCCTTTTTAGTATCCCTCCTCTTTCCCCACAATCACCATCCCTCTTTCCTATTCTCTTCCCTGCCTAATCTGCCCTTCCCTCTTCCCCTCCCTGCCCTTCCCTCTTCCCCTTCCTACCTCCTCTTTCTTCTCACTTCCCCTCCTTACCTTATTTTTTCTTTTCCCTTTCCTTCCACTCTCTTCCTTTTCCTCATCTCTTTCCAACCACCCTTTCCCTTCCTTCTTCCATTTCCTAACTCTCCTTCCCACTTCCCCTCCATACCTTCCCTTCTCATCTCCCTACCTCCTCTCTTCTGTTCTCCTCCCTCCATTCCTTTTCCTCTTTCTCTCCCTCCTTTTTCCTCTTTTCCTCCCTACCTCACTTTCCCCTCCACTTCCTATCTAGACTTAAATACTACTAGTGTAACTCTCATCCCTGTGATGATGTGACCTTAATATCTGGCTTGATTAATGTTGCAGAGTATTGGGACGTAGCTTAGGAGGAGGTGATATGATTGCAGATTTGGCAGTGTCGGGATTGTCACGAGTGCCCGTGTTGCTAGGCGTGGCTCTCATCTCCTTGGCTTATTCTACTTGCGGGACTTTGGCACTATGTCTGGCCGGCTTTTTTTATTTCATCAAGGTGAATGTACTCTTAATCATTGCCCCCTCCCCAGATTGTGATCTTTTACGATAGTGTGAGGTTAGTTGTTTTTTTCCCCCTTTTTTTTCCTAAACTGATCCTGAACGAGAAGTATAACTTTGTACATACACCTAAAGAGAGAAAAGTAAGATAGAACTTGTTGCATTTTGCTCTTTTTTTTTTATTTGTAATATAGATTTGAATTGACCCATAACCTTTCCAAAAATAGAACTTCTTTTGTATAGATAACCAGAATAGACATTTAATAAAGTAGAATCAAATTACTAAAAGAAAGAATCATAAACAAAACTCTCTCCAAGGCAACAGTGCTGTATACATTAGCTTCCATTTGCTGTACATTGTAGATAAGCTTCCAGAGAAGAAACACTGCATGGCTTTTTGTCCAGTTGAACATTGCCTTATATCTTGCTCACATTAATTTAGTTTATGTCTGTTTATGCTGAAGTGTGGCTACGAAAGTGATTTAACCCTTGCTTGTGCTGCCAGGTGTTTAAGCTGTACGAAGACTTCATCGAGAAGATTGTCGTGGGGCTGATCCCAGGCACGACTGAGAACAGGTCAAAGACAGACAAGGCCCTCTCACAGCTGAACTTCCACATGACTCTCATGATGATCATCTTCCTTGTGAGTGCTCTCAATGCTCCTGCTTTCATTGTGTGGGGCAAACTGCTCAGGTAGGTAATTTTAGTTTAGCAAGGATACTTTTCTTAATTTTTTAATGTTTTTAGAGAGTGCTTTTATATACATCATGATAAGACATTATGGTATTGAGATTACTGACTGAAAGGATATAGAATTCCAGTTGATATTTTAACTTGCATGCTTTTTTACAGTCATAACTTACAATTGGTGCAAGATCCAAGCCTATATGTGGCAGTGACGGTCTTGATAGGGCTCTGCTTCCTCTGGCAAAAGAAAGTCCCTCAATGTGATAAGTAGGTTCTTGACTTTTGTACATTATTTGTTATAGTATTCTTTAAAGGGAAAGTTTTTAAATGATTAGATATGATTATTGTAGTTATGATTGTTTTTATAATAATTTTTCCCCCCCCAGGATAATTAAAAAATAAATTCTCTTGATATATAGGTTCTTTGATTTATTATAAACAGTCTTCTACTGAACTTTAAAGAGCAAATGGCTTAAAGTGATCTCTCTCTATTTCCACTTTAGGAGATTCTACAAACAGCTGGGTTACTTGGTCCACTCCTTAGCTGTGTTGACCCTCCTGTATGGCAGTGTGAATTTGTACCGCGTGTCCTACATCCTATCGGCAGCTATAATCCTTGTTGTGATACACCAGCTTGTGGCTCCAAGGAAACCGCCCCAGAGGGAGAGCCAGGAGGATGAAAGCCCTAGTGAAAGAAGCCGTCCTTTCATGGCACAGGTTGACGAGTCAGAATCCGACGGCACCAATTCTGGCAGCATTACCTCAGATAATGACTCTGGGCCAAGCCAGAGGATTATTTAAGGAGAAGAAGAAGAGAAGAAGAAAAAGACAGGGGAGTGAAGGAATAAGTAGATGATCCGGTAATCAAACTATTCTTGTCTTGTGGTCTTGCCCATTGATAGACACTTCTGGAGGCAAGGAGGGGCAGTCAGTAACTTAAAACACTGGGTAAATTTTTATTGATAAGTCAGATGACAAAGTTACTTTGTACATGAATCTGGAGGCACATGTAAATTGATCATATACACATGTGTTCCAAGATTACTTTCCTCTTCACTGGCTCCCATAACCCACTAACGACGGGTGTCCCACATATTAGACACCCGAAAAAATAAACATTGCTGGGCGTCCCGCCAGTGTATTGGGGCTCGCGCTCTGACGCAGCAGCAGGCGATTTTGTAGCCACCCGGAATCTTTTATTTTCGGCTTCAAAATGTACCGGCGTTAATGGGTTAATCCCTATATCTTGTCCAAGTGTCTGTCTCTGGTCCTACCTCAGTTGGCAAGGTGATGTGATGGTCAGTTTTAGGTTAAAATTGGGAAAGAACCTCACCCCCAGAGGCTAGTCCAGATTGGCCAGTATTCAAGACTGGCTCAAGATTTGTCATATTTGTTGAAGAATAACAATAAGCACCCATGTCATGTTCACGAGAGCTGCATTTAGAAATATTTTCTTTATCCTCATAGAAATTGCATCTTAGGCAGGTATGATGATGTCACAATGTACTAGTTAATCACTGCTCATACTAGAAGAGTAATATATGATGTATGCTTAGGGTTTCATTGTTATCATCTCATATGCATGTGATTTCAGATGTCCATTCATACTGTTGTATAAATCGGGAATAGCTGTAACTGTGTGGTACTGAATTCATGAAATATTTGTGCAATTTGTGTTGTTAATAATGACTGTCAGGACTGGAATTTTCCTGTTACAATTACCTCTTGGATATGTTTATCCGATGTTTTTTTTATGTTTATTTCTTTGTTATTAATTTTTGATTATCAAGCATTTTGATATGTGATTGTGCTTTTCTTTTGTGGGCAATGTGCAGTTTATGAAGATATGAATCTATGATTATATTTTTCTTCTTTTCTTTCTCTCTTTGTGGATGTGCAATTTATCAAATTTGATTTGCAATGTTTAAAAGAAAAAAAACGAAAAAGAAAAAAATCTGCCCCAGAATCAAACCAATCTGCATAAATACCCTCTGAGCAAAAACTGTCAAAAGTGGGATGAATTGTTAATTGATCAAATTATATTAAAGTATATGTAAACTCAGATTGTTATTTTGAAATTTAACATGTGAGTCTGTTTTTTAAGGAAATTAATGGGAAGATTTAATCCCAACTGTTTTTAAAGTGATTTTAAATACTATTGATATTAATTTTTTGTGTATTTTTGTGTGATTTATATGGTGTAAAATTGATTATCAAAAAATATCTGGAAATAAAAAAAATGAGGCATGCCCGATTACGCGATCTGTGCGGCACCTGTTCTCTCTCTTCTGTCTTCCTTCTCCTGGTGTGTCTTACCGTGCTGTTCTGCCTCTCTCTCTCTCTGTCTGCCTCCCTCATACCTATTATTTGTCTTTCTTTCTTTTCCTTTCCAGTACACCGTGAGTCTAGAATTACATGAGTATGGGGAGGGAAATGTCTGTCTGTTTTTCTGTATATTCACCTATTCACCTATATTTTTATCAATCTGTATATCTGTTTCTCTCTCTCTCTCTATCTCCTTATCTATATCTATGTCTACCTCTTTATTTTCTTTTTCTCTTCTCTATTGTTTTCCTTTCTCTCTTCTCTTCCCTTTTTTTCTTATTCTCTCTCATTTTTATTCCTTAAATTTCCCTTTTTACGTACACTTCACTGATTACCTGGCAGGGAAATGTACGTGCAAGAAGTAGCCAAAAGTCCGAATTCTTTCAGTGCTTTAATGAGAGGATCCAATTCCTTAGCGGATAGGAAGGAAATTCCCTCTTGCTGTTTCTCTCTTTCTCTTCTGTCGCTTTGTCGCCTGGGGGTTACCGCTGTGGCTGGGCACCACGATGGGCTCTGTCACGTCAGCTCTTGCTGACACATGTTGTCGACACAGGCCGGGCTTCCCTCCAGGGATGCCCGCTTTTTCATAGCAGCAATTTTGCCGCTCTCTACACAGCAGGCGATAAAGGAAACGGATATAAATAATAAAATTGGACCATATACTATCGTAGGGTCAGTCTGATGATTATAAGATTCCGTGCATTACTTTCTTGTTTAATGCATGCCTAAACAATATACATTTAATACATTACCAAACCAATATTGGGTAATTTTATTTATTACCTTCGCCTCACCGATATCAACGATTTTGGTATCGTCGGATTCCTCTCACTGTCCACATTCCAAATATGTAGGTTTTATCGCGCGGAAAACCCCCGTTAGCGAGAAACTTGGCCCCGATTGCAAGGGAGGGCATGTAAGGTTCTAGAGAAAATCGAGGTTAAATAACACTAATAATATAACCCACAGTGAAAATAACCATGGTTATTCATATGACTTTCCATTGCAGGGGGCTGCGCCCCCTGCGACACCCCCTGGGGGAGGGCTACCGCCCCCTAACCCCCACCAAGGAAACAAAACCTCCAACACGTATTCCCGGCAGGCTGGAGCGTTACACAATGCTCGTCGATCGCGGAGCGGCGGACGTATTACATTTACCTCGTAACATTCACACTGAATCAGCATACTAACCTTGACATAGTCAGCATTGTATACACACGATTGTAGTATAATCAGGATGAACAGAGTATACCATGAACAGAAGAGCGCCCTCGTCGGCGGGTTTTGCGCCTCTCTGGATGTTACGCTGATGGCCTCAAGGTCGAGTTTCCCGTCCCCTGGAACCACGATTTGCGAAATCCTAACCGAAATAACCGTCGCATTCAGTACTTCGCCATGGCCGCCGCGATGGCACTGTGTGAAGGAGCACGTGTGCACTCTATCCTGCCGTGAATACGTGGTGATTTTGTTTCCTCGGCGGGGGTTGGGGGGCGGCAGCCTCCCCAGGGGGGATTGCAGGTGGCGCAGCCCCCTGCAATGGAAAGCATCTGAATAACCATGGATATTTTCACTGTGGTTTAATTATTAGGGTAATTTTCAATATTATGTCCGCCGCTCCGGCCGCCGCTCCGACATCGTCGCCCCCGATATAGTGCCCAAGTTTACCGCTGACAAGGGGTTTTCGCGCAATAAAACCTACATATTTGGATTGTACAGAGTGAGAGGAATCCAACGATACCAAAATCGTCAAACTTACTATATTACGTCCGCTGCTCCGACATCATCGCCCCCCATATAGTGCCCAAGTTTGTCGCTAACCCCCCGGGGGGTTTCTGCGCAATAAAACCTTCATATTTGGATTGTGCAGAGTGAGAGGAATCCAACGATACCAAAATCGTCGATATCGGTGAGGCGAAGGTAATATAGAAAATTAACAAATATTGTAACATTTAACAACATAAAATGCACCCGAATCACTTTACAGAAGATGTCTTCGATGCATAAGAAAATGCGACATTGAACCTGTAAACTTTATTTATCTTAAAAGTATACGACTATTCATAACGAGCGTGTTATAGGGCTGAAGATTTGAAGTCACTATATGGAACCGTGGCTCTATCTTTGGTGATGCTCAGTTAGAAGACTCGGTTGACATGAAATCAAATGAAATTTCCGCCGCGATGACGTTCGCTCTGCCACATCATGTGTTTATACCATTTCAGCAATTTTCATGTTTGATTTATTTGAACAGAAAAAAATATCTCAATATTGTTTTAAACACTTATTTTGTATCAAACCATTTGTACAAAATAACGTACAAAATAACAAAAGTACGGCCTTCATAAAAACCCGATGTGACGTCACTATGCGTCGGTCGTCTTTTGTTTCCGTTTAGCGGACGAATTTCCGTAGAATTCCAGCCCTGCTCCCCTCATAGGCCAAGCTCAGCTCAGCTCGCATATCGGATTTATCCTTACCTCTTTCTGTCTCTGTTTCTCTCTGCCTCTGTGCCTATCTATCTGGGGATCTGTCTGTCTGTGGATATGTCTATCTTTCTGTTTATCAATTTCATATCTCCCTATTATTTATTTCAGTCTTGCCCAAACATTTTTGCCTATTGTACCCTTCATTACCTTCTTGTACTGTTACGTACCCCCCCCCTCCACCATGGCTAAACAAACTGTTTTATTTAGGATAATGCAAATGAAAAGACTGTATTGCAGGTGTTGTTCAATAAATTCGAATTTAATACACGAATAAAAAAGATTATTTAATAACAAAATGCTTGAAAAATACTTACACAACTTAATGTGAGATGTGAAGCGTGTATGTTCCTTGTTTGTTCACGTCCCCTTATGATCTGTGTCGCGTACCCCCAGGCGAACGCGGACCCCTGTTTGGACAACATTGATCTATTTCATATCTCTCTCTGTCTGTTTGCCTCTCGTGGGGGAACCTTTTCTCCCCCCCTTTCTCGTTCTTTTCCTTTTTGATTTTTTTTTTTTGTTTTCCCTTTTTTTTTTTTCTTCCCCCCCAAAATTTTTTTCTTTTAACAAAAAAAGGGCTAATTGACATATATCAATACAATCTGTTGTATACATATACACACACATACAAAAACACTACACTAACACACACACAATATATGTGATGATATATATATATATATTATTAATATATAATTATATATATATATATTATAATACAATTAAATTTATACATATATATATATAATAATTTATATGAGTGTGAGATATATTTAAATATACATTCTTAACTATTTAATTATGTAATTGTTTAGTTGGATTAAGACGCGACTGACCACACTCAACACTACAACACATCAATACTATACGACACAACACACACCTAGAGCACATCACACTAATCACACTATGCACACACACCATCGACATCACACATAATCAATCGATATATGGTATATATATTAATATAATATAAATTAATATATATTAAATGTATAATAGATTATTAATATATATATATTATTAATAATTAATATATATATAAATTAAAGTAATAATATACACTAACACATACACACATTCATCACACACACATCATATCACACACACAACCACCTATAACACACATCACATATATATGTATATAGTGTTAGTATATATATATAAAATATATATATATTAATATATAATATTTATAATTGTACTGCCTCCAGTAAACACTAGCAGTCTCAGTATAATACCTTATTGTTCCTAAATGAGTTATACAAGCTGTATAGTATGATAGCAGTAGTAAATCTCATAACGCTCAAAGATAGACATACATTCACTACGTATGACAGGTATATGAGCGTTGCACGTAGTTGATATGATTATGAGTGAATAGAGGTAAGTGGTACTAGGTCCAATCGTTATTCATAAAATACTAAGATAAAGTAAAAAGAACGTACAGCACAGACTGAGCTCACGTTACTCACGCTAGGAGGCTCCGCCTATATATATAATATACAACATATATAATATATATATATATATATATTATATATTATATATTAAACATTAAGTCACATAACAACGTGGTTAAACGGCGTACAACATATTACTGTAAGTCAATACACTCTTACATATACAATATCATAATATATACATAAACAATATATAAAGTTATATAATAATAAAAATAAATACTGAGTAGACGAGACGAAGAAAGATAGACGAGTGAAAGAGCCGAGAAGAAAAAGAGTAGCAGTGATCGAAACAGTGTTTATGTGTAGTGTGGATGTTAGTGGTGTGTAGTAGTCAGATGTCATGAGAGTGTGTGTGTGATGCTGTTTGATGTTGTTGTGTCACGCGGCTGTTAATGAGTCGAATGATAGTAGAATTGGTGTGTATGTCCATACTCAAGATGTGATTGGATAGGATCCACAAATAAGGAATATACCGTTATATTAAACTATCATCCAAAGAGACACAAACAAAGATAGCTACAAATCAGTGAAACACTACTCCAACGCGAACAACACCACAACAACAAAGCACAAACCACATCAGTGCACACAACACACGTACACGCTTATTGGCATATAACCGCGGCACACGCCGCGACACCATACACAAGAATAACTGAACTTCCTGATGGGCGTCTCCACCAACCGTAGTTTCGGTTGAATGCGGTGCCCTCTGCAACGTTCACTTGCGAGATATCCCCTTGTCTTCTCCCAATACAAGGCCCCACAGGGCTCCTTAGGCTTTG